TCAAAGAATTTTCTATTCGGATTTGCACCAAACAAAGCTACACGAATTTGGGGTACAATCTGCAATAACTTTTTCTCATATGTACAATCCGTTGCAGTCGTCAAACAAAGTAAACCAATTTGAGTCTATTACAACTGCAAAGAAAAACAAAAAAATCTAGCGAAGAGCCATAAAAAGAATCCTCAGAATATTTAGTTTCTATTAAGTTTGAGTACTGCAATGTCAGTTAATGCTTTTTTAACAGGAAAAGATGAGTTTCTTCAATTATCGCAGTATAAGACAGAGAGATATCAAATTTTTCAAGCAGCGATATGATCTGATCTCAGAAAGCATCATATTGAAAGTTAGAGTACTAGTATCTTTACAGTCCTTAGTACTACTCTGAAAAATAAAGTTGAACTTATTCTTCTGCCTCGAATATCGAAACATCACATTTACCTGGGCAGCAATCAATTCTAGACGAGATTCCAGTGTTGATGAAACCGTTACCTTACCATTTCTCGCTGAAAGTTCTACTCCACCAGCACTTTCATCAGGTAAATACTCGGTTGTGTCTATTCTTACCTAAAAAGAAACACGATATTTATGCCAAATCAAACCAAATTGAAACATAAACCACTAAGCTCCTTAAAATTTAACTTGAAGCATATTGAAACACAGCACAAAGAGGAAGTATGAAAAAAGTATAAAGAGACGAAAAGAGAACAGCAGAAAGAGTGTGGAAAAGAAAAGGAAGAGGAGGTAATGAAGCCACAATTCTTGTTCAATAATCAGGCAAAAATTACAACCTTTGTACGTTCACCCCACTGCTGCTGTAATTCGTCAAGACATTCCGGCAGGATTTTTTGCACCGACAATTCATCTTTTTTGCGGCAACGCAATGTAACTTCTGTTTCCAGGACTTGGAATAATGCCTGCAAGAATCAGAAACTATTTAGATGATTCATGAGTAATGATTCTAAATCAAGGTATGCCTAAGAAAAAGAGGAATACCTGCAAGATTAAGCCTTTCAAGATTGATGGGTATTTGGCGGAATCTCCAGAAATTCGATTCAAATTCAACCGCGCTTCTTCTAGAACTTTATTCAGATGATCCTCACGTGCCTAAAATTGAAACATTAAATGCACCAATTTTTCAGCATAAACAACAGTAACTTCCTTTTATACCGTTATACATTCCAAACGAAGTTACCAGCTGCTGTAATTACTTCGCCACTTGCTGTGAAAACGCTACATTTTTCTTACTTTCAGACATTTTAGGCGTCCCTGATTAAGCATATTCGATCTCTGAATTTTCCTTTGAAGTTCCACCTGTTTCTCTTTCTTGTCATAGTATTCTAAAATCTTGGTTCGCTGTTGTTGGACAAGGCGACCCTAAAAAATAAGTTAATATAAAAAGATAATTTTTTTGAAATAATCGATTTGTCAACAAACAATTAACCAAAATTTTCTAAATCGCTTTATCATCAAGCACTATTTACATAATAATGATCACTAATGCTATCTCATATATACACTTTATAAGGGAGGTCCATGATCGCAAATAAACCGAGAAAATAAGGACAATGTCTGTCTTATTTAGCCTTTTGTCCAATCCACCAGGGCAAAGATAACACATCCCCTTTTCAATATTAAATTCAACTCATTTTCCACCTTTTCAATATTGAATTCCTCTTCTGCTTTCGCATCAACTTCTTCTGCTTTTTCGATTGCTTCTTGCTCAATGAATGCGATCATATGCCGCAATTGTTTCTGTACATCGTTGTCTGAGAGCCCCATTTTATTTCTGTACGAAGTATCTGAATTTATGATTGAAATTTTCGTGAAATAAATAAAGCTCCACGTAACTTACAAGCAATAATGAATACAGTTAAAACCAAGGACTAAGGAACTTTCAAGGAATTATAAAACTGTGCACGAGTAACTTCCAAAATAAGGATCAAAGAACACTGCACTTAACCACATAATATACAAATACCCATAAAAAAACATAACATCCATTCATGCAATTGAGGTATGATATACTTAGTCAAAATATAATATAAATGCAAATACACAATAACCAAACACGTAAACTCCTACAATACAGGTAGCTGGAACAAGTAAGGTAACAGCGACATGTACGAGACTAAAGAATACTTGAAGGAAAATAATTGGATCAATTCATAGCATTTATTTACGGAACGATAACACAAAGTCAGCCCAATACAACGTACCGCACACAACCCATGAAAACATCAGTCGATACCATCATCACTCATTGAACATCTAAGATGGTTAAAGATCAGAAATCGGCGACCCATACATGGTCGCAGCCCATATTTACTTCTTTCTATGCAACAGTTTAAATCCATCCAGTGAACAAAGCGTTTTTGAATTTTAGTTGACACATTTTTCCACTTCCGAATGCCATAACCCATAAGCACTAAATTTCCATTTAGAAGACCCGGGGATTCCTGTTAGGAAATAATTGAAAAATGTAAACACAATAGGCAAGCGATAATTCTATTAAAACCGATTGAGCAACCAAAATTAAATATATTCTTTGCAGAGTTTATTAATCTTTCGTTCAATGATTCAGTGTTATTGCCATCAGATAGATCAAATGTCTATTGTATAATTCCGTGTTAGTTCGAAAGAAAAGTCTAAAGCATATTTACTCTCATTTATTCATTGTTTTGCATTTCTTGATAACAATAATGTAAAATAATCCCTTTACTATGTTGTATGGATTAACATATATTTTGTAGGAATAAACGGCAAAGAAAAGATACATATTTATTGATATGTACAATTTCTATTTATTTCTATTTCTGTAAAAGTTTAACGTATGAAAGAAACAAAATATTTGATTCTGATTTATCAATTTCGATGCAGCAATAGGATCTGATTGATAAATGAAGTGATAATAAGTGATATTATCACTGTCATATAGTTTTAACTCAAAAAAATTATTAAACATAATAAGCTATATAGCTGAATAAAAATTAACAATTAAATAGTAAGATAAAAAAGAATTCTCTAAATATGATTATGTCAATTTTTTACTTCCGATTTTTAGCAGAGTTTAACTTTCCTACCACACACACACTGTAAGAGAGAATTCTCCTCGAAGTAACAGAATGTATCGATCGTCGATGAATTGAGAGAAAATTAACGAATTGAAATTTGCTATTACCTTTGACTGATTTTGCATTGATATGATAGTTGTATAAATGATTTTACATTAAGTACCTTATGTACTTCAGAATTTTATTTAAATTTCAATTTTTTAGGATTAATTAATTAATAATTAAAACATGAATAATTGCGATTGAGAGATAAATCAATGAAATACTGTGCAAAATGGCTAAATTCTGTTTAATTAATTTTAATTGGAAAAGGCTATCTTAGCCTTTTGGGGGAAATATTATTTTGAAGGTGTCTTGTTAGTAGACAGTTATATATGTTTAGCTTAATCAATGATAACTATTTGTCCTAGAATTCCTAAAATGTTCATTTATCTTTTACTGAAGCAGTTTAAATATTTATCGAATGAGATGGTGTTGTTTGTTCTTCTCGATCACTACAGCAAATACAATTCGGAGTGGAACTTATTTAATAAGATTTATTCGAAATGATCACCACGAATTTACAGCAATGTTGTTGCTGTTTTGATCGACATTGTTGCTGAAAGAAATGAAACGGAAGTTGCAAAGAAGTTACTTATCGCTTGACTGAATTTAAAGTAAATTAGAAGTACAGGAAAATAAAGACTTACTGAGTTCCATTTGGACAAATCATCTTTGTATATGGTCCATAACAAGTGTGTGCGTATTGCGGACATCGGCAGTATTGATTCGAACGCCATGGACATGACCAAAGATTCCAACAAATGATAAATTTTTGTGGACTTGGAATACTAACTTCATCAGTGATCATTGACATTTCTAATTCGCTTGCAGTCGATGAGGATATTTCCATGGAAGGAGTTGTTTCTATTGAGAGATCTGTTTCGATGGAAGAAGCTGTTTCGGTGGAAGAAGTTGTTTCCGTGGAAGAAGCTGTTTCGGTGGAAGAAGTTGTTTCTGTGGAAGAAGCTGTTTCGGTGGAAGAAGTTGTTTCTGTGGAAGAAGCTGTTTCGGTAGAAGAAGCTGTTTCCGTGGAAGAAGCTGTTTCGGTGGAAGAAGCTGTTTCTATGGAAGAAACTGTTGACATCGTAGAATTTGGTGAATTGAGTGTTGCTAACGTGGAAGAAACAGTTGATGTGGTTTCATCTGCAAATCAAATCATTGCTCTACAGAAAAACACTTTGATAAGCTTATCAAAAATTTATATCTTAACAAGTTATTTTGGTACTATTCATAAATGGCCACTACCACAGCATGCTCAAATTGAACTTACCCTCTTGGCCCAGTACAATAATTGACAAAATTTCAATTAGGATCCCACAAAAAAGCCGAAGCTGCATTTCGATTTCATAAATTGTTTACTATTATTATGGGCACTATTTATATCAGATAGTTGTTTGTATTATCGCGAAGTATAATGTAATGTTTTAATAACTTCATTAATCTGATTAATTCAGTTCAATTGTTGTTTAGAAATTCGTCACAGATCGCTTAAATTATCAGTCTGTTTACAATAATTTCCCATGTTTTGCAATTGTTGAAATTATTTGAAATGTAATTTTTGCACATATCTAATCTGATTTGATATTTAAATCTGAAAGCTTTGATATTAACGAAGTAAACAAAATACTTGAACATTAACAATGCAACAATAGCATGCTAATTTTGATCTACTCATCAATTGTCAAGTAATTCGCTCGAAAATATTGAGAAATTTTCATATCATACTTAAAATGATAGGTAGATATCATATAAAGAATTTGTGGTAAAATGATTACATATAAAGGATTATCATATAAATGATTACAAAGGATTTTGCAATATGTTGCAGATATCTTGCAATCTAACGTGGAAGAAACTGTTGATGTGGTTTCATCTAGCAAATCAAATCATTGCTCTACAAAACACTTTGATAAGCTTATCAAAAATTAATACATATCTTGACAAGTTATCTTCGTATTACTATTCATTAGTGAGCATAAGTTGAAAATAATTTTAAATGATAATTTTAATTTATGAAATTTTTGATTTGAAATAATTAAGATTGTGTGGAATTCGCTAATGTTGCAAGTAATTATAGAATCTTTTCAGTAAGATACTTAAAATTTTCAAACAATAAGATGATTTTTTAAGATTATTATTTTGTAAATATTTAACTAACGAATTTCAACATAATAATTAACTGATATTAAATACAATATTCTAAATATTGCTGAAATAAGCAACTTTCTAATTAATTAGCAACTTTTTCTTTTTAGATCAACTGATTTTTCGGTTGGACATTTTGTTTTTGATTTTTTATCAAATTTGATAAACATATTCCATCGATTTTCTTCATGGCTTTTAATAATTGATAGCAATGTATCGCTTCTATACATGTCTCAAAAGTTTTGAAAGTTAGCAAATGTAATTCTTGATCTCTACTCTTCGGAATGTTATTAGTATTATCACATTTCATATAATTTACCGTTGCTGATTTTAACTTCAGTATTATCAATCTTCACTAAATAATGATTCCACTTTTACTTCCTTCTCCTTTCCTTCTTCTTGATTCTGATTCTTTTTTTTCTTAATTATTAATGATACGATTGAGGAATACGCTCAGAATCAGAATGCAGCATTCTTCAATCGTATCAATGATAATATCGTATTATAAAATAGAACAAATTTCGTGAATTTCTTTTACTTTTGTTTCATAGACCATTTTATTAACATGAAAGTATACACGGTTAAGTGTTTGATAGAACTGGAAATAAGATTTAGGTACAAATAATAATTTAATTATTTTCTATGACGGCTCGAAAAAACAAAACATCAGACATAAGTAATGCCGTAATGATTACACTGTATCAATAAATTGGATAGGTTTTTGAAGTCAATGATAAAATGTAAAAATTTTTGGAATAAATTATTTCGCAAGCGAATTAACATATTTAATTAGCATATTAAAATTAGCATATTTTGCATATAATATATAAAAATTAGCATATTTTTGTTGTGAATACGTTGTTATTGCCTAGTTGTGTTATTTACTTCGATACTGTTCAAGGCTTTTAAAATTAAAAAGCTAATAAGATTAAAAATTGGTAATATTAAAATTCTAGAGATTAAAAATTTGCATCAATGAAAGATCAGTCGTTGAAATTACATTTAAAAAATCTCCAACAATTACTGAACATGGGAAATTTTTGTAAATTGATAGATAAATAATAATCTGTGGTAACTTTTTGAAATAACAATTAAATTAATTAGACTAATGAGTTTATCCAAAATATTATGCTTTTCGAAAATTTCAACAATAATTTTGATTGGTGGCAAATACAATGTTGTAAATAGGATTGTAACAACAATAATGTTGAACAGTAAGATTATCTTTATTACTAATGATAAGAACTATTTGGATTTATTAAAAATTTACCTCACAATTCTCCTACAGTCGCTTACGTAATAATTAATTATATGTAGGCAAGATTATCTTCATTACCAATGATTAGGACTATTTGGATTTTTTGAAAATTTACCTCACAATTCTCCTACAGTCGCTAATGTATTAATTAATTATTATTACTAATGATTAGGACTATTTGTATTTTTAAAAATTTACCTCACAATTCTTCTACAGCCGCTTATGTATTAATTAATGATGTGTAAATTTGGAAAAAAAATCGAAGTTCAAAAAATCGATTTTCAAATAGTTTAAACAATAATATAATTTTTTAAACAAAAAAGTTAAAACATNTTATTACTAATGATTAGGACTATTTGTATTTTTAAAAATTTACCTCACAATTCTTCTACAGCCGCTTATGTATTAATTAATGATGTGTAAATTTGGAAAAAAAATCGAAGTTCAAAAAATCGATTTTCAAATAGTTTAAACAATAATATAATTTTTTAAACAAAAAAGTTAAAACATTTAAATCATTTAAACAAAGAACTAAAGGATTTTTTTCAACATAAATTTTGTCGTCAAAGTGGAAGCAAAGTGCTAATTGGCTTCGGATAACTGCTAAAAGTTTTATTTACAATTGAGGGAAGAATTCATTTCCATCGTTCACTGGACGAAGTGAATTAGATGATCCACGATTGCAATAACCTTCAAAATAATATTCTCCCAAAAGTAAAAGATAGCCTTTTCTAATTAAAATTAATTAGACAGAATTTAGCTATTTGCACAGTATTTCATTGATTTATCTCTCAATCGCAATTATTCATATTTCAATTATTAATTAATTATTCCTAAAAAATTGAAATTCAACTAAAATTCTGAAGTACATAAGGTTATTAATGTAAAATCATTTATACAACTATCATATCAATGCAAAATCAGTCAAAGGTAATAGCAAATTTCAATTCGTTAATTTTCTCTCAATTCATCGACGATCGATACATTCTGTTACTTCGAGGAGAA